TCTTGTAGAATTCTGCAGTGAATCCATCTGGGCCTGGGCTCTTCTTGGTGGGCAAGGACCCAATTACATTCTCAATTTCATTAGCAGAGATTGGGTTATTCAACAGTTTTATATCCTCTTGATCTAGCTTTGGTACTTCATATGCTTCTAAGAATCTGCCTATTTCTTCTGTTATCAAACTTTTGAGAGTAGAGGTTTTCGAAATAGGTGTTGATGATCTTCTGTATTTCTATTGGGTCTGTAGTGATTTCTCCTTTTTCATTTCTTATTGCATGAATTTGAGCTTTTTCTTTCCTTTTTTTAATAAGGTTGGCTAGGGGCTTATCGATTTTATTTATTCTTTCAAAGAACCAACTCTTTGATTCGTTGATTCTTTGGATTGTTTTCTTAGTCTCTATTGCATTGATTTCTGCTCTGATTCTTATAATTTCCTCTCTTCTTTTGGCTTTGGGCTTGACTTGCTCTTCTTTTTCTAGCTGTTTGAGGTGTAGCATCAAGTTATTTACTTGTATTCGTTCTGTTTTCCTGATGTGGGAACTCAGTGCAATAAATTTTCCTCTCAGAACGGCTTTCATTGCATCCCACAGATTCCGGTAAGTTGTATCTGCATTTTCATTTTCTTTTAGGTATTGTTTAATTTCTTCTTTAATTTCTTCTGTGACCCACTGATTACTCAAGAGTGTGTTATTTAGTTTCCATGTGTTTGCAGAATTTTTGCAGTATCCTTTGTCATTAATTTCTAATTTCAGAGCGCTATGATCCGATAATATGCAAGGGATGATTTCAACTCTTTTGCATTTGCTTAAATATGTTCTGTGAGCTAATATATGGTCTATTTTAGAAAATGATCCATGTACTTCTGAGAAGAATGTGTATTCTGATGTTGTTGGGTGGAACATTCTGTATATGTCTATCAAACCCATTTGTTCACAGGTGTGATTCAGTTCTGTTATTTCTTTGCTCATTTTCTGTCTGGTTGATCTGTCCCTTGGTGTCAGTGGTGTATTAAGGTCTCCTGTTACAATTGTGTTACTGATAATTTGAGTTTTCATTTCTGTTAATAATTGTTTTATATAACTGGGTGCTCTGGAGTTTGGTGCGTATATATTTAAGATAGTTATCTCTTCCTCTTGGAGTTTTCCCCTTACGAGTATGTAGTGACCTTCTTTGTCCTTTATGGTCATTGTTGGTTTAAAGTTCACGTTGTCTGCAAACAGAATGGCTACTCCTGCCTTTTTTTGGATTCCTGCTGCATGAAGAATTGTTTTCCATCCTTTGACTTTCAGTCTGTGAGTATCTTTCTGGGTTAGATGGGTTTCCTGTAAACAGCATATGGTTGGATTTTGTTTCTTGATCCATTCTGCTAGTCTGTTTCTTTTGATTGGTGCATTGAGACCATTTACATTAATGGTTATTACTGTTAAATGCTGGTTAATTGTAGGAATGTTATCTCTGTGCTGTTGCATCTTTATCTTTCGGTTCTGTTTAATTATTTGCTTTGCTTAGTGGTTTTTTCCTTTGTGTATCTAAACTGTCTTTCAATATTTTTTGCAGGGTTGGTTTGGTGTTCATGAAGTTCTTCAGCTGTTCTTTGTCATGGAAGTATCGTATTGCACCATCTATTTTGAATGATAGTTTTGCAGGATATATCAGTCTTGGTTGGAAATCATTTTGCTTTAGGATCTGGAATACTTCACTCCATGCTCTTCTTGACTTTATCGTTTGTGCTGAGAAGTCTGCTGTGATTCTGATAGGTTTTCCTTTATAAGTGATTTGTCTTTTCTCTCTGACAGCTTTTAATAATCTATTCTTGTGTTGGATCTCTGGGATGGTGACTATTATATGTCTGGGTGTAGTTTTATTTTGGTTATGACTGTTTGGAGTTCTATATGCTTCACTGATCCTGATGTCAGTTTCTGATCTCATGCTTGGGAAATTTTCAGCTATTACTTCTCTAAATATCCTCCTGACATCCTTCATGTTGTCTCCCTCTCTTTCATTAATCCCTATCATTCTTATGTTATTCTTCTTTGCATCGTCTTGCAGTTGTTGAATTGTTGTTTCCTGGTTCCTTGTTATTTTCAAAAGATCTTTCCTTTCCTGTTCACTAGCTGCAATCCTGTCTTCAAGGTCTGAAATTCTATCTTCACTTTCATTAAGGCAGTTTTTACAACTTTCAGTGGAGTTTTTTATTTCCTGTATATCTCTGTGCATCTGTATTATGTATTCTGTTTGTTTCTTATATTGCTCGTCTAGGGATTCTATCTTTTTGTTTAGTTCCTCCAATTTTTTATCTGTGTTTTCTTTAGATATATTTAGAATCTCTTTCATTTCTTTTATCATTTCTTCTTTTATCTGGGAGATTATTTCGAGTTTGAATTTCTTTAAAGCTTCCTGGAGTTGCTTGTCAATTTCAGTGGCTATTGTGTCCGATATATGAGGTGGATGGGATATATTTTCTTCTATATACATCGCTCCTAGGGTTTCTTGAGATGGGCTGGAGGTTTGAGGTTGTAATTTGGTCTTTCGTTTTGTCATTTTCCTATATTTCTGTGTTTCAAGTGTTACTTGAAAGCTTCCTCAGGATCTGTTGAAAATCCCCTTCTATGTTTGGAGCTACTGGGACTCTGGCGCCGCGCTACTCCAAGCCATTAGGCCTACAGAACCAGTGGCCCTCCTCTGCCTGCTCAGAACTCCGCAGTTCCAGACAAGCTGGGCCTCAGGGACACTGTGCGCCCACCTGCCCCTTGGAAGCTCCACAGTTCTTCAATCGCAGCTGGGTTAGGGTACTCACCACAGGTCGCAGTGCTTCAGGAACCTGTGGACCCTCCCTGGTTGCAGAGATATCCAGAGTCCTCCAGACACACAGAGAGGCCAGTGAGGGCACCCCAGATCTGCCCCGCTCCTCCTCTGCAGACCTGTGGCCAGGCGCGGCAGCTAAACAGGCTGGGCTAGGCTGGTAGTGTGGGCCAGCCCACCTATTGGGAGCTCCGCAGGTCTCCAAATGAAGCCAGGAATGGGGAGGCTGATGTGGAAGCCTTAAACCCACCTCTCTCCTTCACTGCACCTGGAAGCCTGAGGGAACTCCAGCAGTCTGGGCGCAGAAATCCAGAGTCCTCCAGACATGCAGAGAGGCCAGTGAGGGTACCCCAGATCTGCCCAGCTCCTCCTCTGCAGACCTATGGCCAGGCGCGGCTGCTAAACAGGCTGGGCTAGGCTGGTTGTGTGGGCCAGCCCACCTATCAGGAGCTCAGCAGGTCTCCAAATGAAGCCTGGAATGGGGAGGCTAATGTGGAAGCCTCAAACCCACCTCTCGCCTTCACTGTACCTGGAAGCCTGAGGGAACTCCGGCAGTCTGGGCGCAGAAATCCAGAGTCCTCCAGACACACAGAGAGGCCAGTGAGGGCACCCCAGATCTGCCCCGCTCCTCCTCTGCAGACCTGTGGCCAGGCGCGGCAGCTAAACCGGCTGGGCTAGGCTGGTAATGTGGGCCAGCCCAACTATTGGGAGCTCAGCAGGTCTCCAAATGAAGCCGGGAATGGGGAGGCTGATTTGGAAGCCTTAAACCCACCTCTCTCCTTCACTGCACCTGGAAGCCTGAGGGAACTCCAGCAGTCTGGGCGCAGCAATCCAGAGTCCTCCAGACACGCAGAGAGGCCAGTGAGGGCACCCCAGATCTGCCCAGCTCCTCCTCTGCAGACCTGTGGCCAGGCGCGGCAGCTAAACAGGCTGGGCTAGGCTGGTAGTGTGGGCCAGCCCACCTATCGGGAGCTCAGCAGGTCTCCAAATGAAGCCGGGAATGGGGAGGCTGATGTGGAAGCCTTAAACCCACCTCTCTCCTTCACTGCACCTGGAAGCCTGAGGGAACTCCAGCAGTCTGGGCGCAGAAATCCAGAGTCCTCCAGACACGCAGAGAGGCCAGTGAGGGCACCCCAGATCTGCCCAGCTCCTCCTCTGCAGACCTGTGGCCAGGCGTGGCAGCTAAACAGGCTGGATGATACTGGTCTTGACTGAGATGGGCAGACTGGCTCAGTTCTGTACACAAATTCTCATGTAACATTTATAGAGCTAGAGGTGAAGAGTCTGAACTGCGAGCCATGCTGTCTGACTCCTGACCCAAGCACTTAACCTATAAAATAAATCCTCTCCATTGTCAAACAAATTGATAGCCACATCATTCTCATACTTTTTCAAATCTCTTCTTAAACTGACATTTTGTGGAGTAAAAAGACTTTGGGACGACATGGCTAGTTAGGCATTGAGGTGGGCACAAACCGTGTTCTTCCCAGGTCACAGTGAACTCTTGAAGCACCAAGCAGGAGACCGCTCTACCCATAGATATTGAGGTGAGTGTGGCTTCTATCCTCCTTAAGACATTAAAATAGAACTGAAATTGTGTGCTCTAGTAGCCTCAATTGTAACTTATGTCACATCGGGAAAGTAAGTAGTAGTTATGCCCCAAATTATCTATGGAGTTTATATTTGATATAGTACTATCTATTTTTACATGTGATAAAAAGTGTAGCTGTTATTCTTATATGATATAGAGTTATGCAATTTTTTCAATGCAATTAAAATCAGTCACACGGGAATTTTCAACTAGGAAGAAGGATTTTCTCTTTTGCAACTTCTATTCCCTTTGTATAGACATATAGCCTCTCTGTTACAGGATGACAGTGACTTCCGCAAATTTTCCTTGAAGATCTATTTGCCATGTATTTTCACATGAGAAGGAAAAGTAGTACATGTTAATGTTGAGGATTTCAGAGTCTGGGCTGCAGTATGTCCCAAGGACCACCTATATGCATAACTACTCTACACCTGTCAGTGGGCCATTAAGCAGGTCAATGAACCTGACAGTTATTCAAATGATTTACTAATGTTAAGGCCCTTTACCAACATGGTTATTCTTTGGATTTCCTGACTCTTTATTAGTACTGCACAATCTGAGATGAAATATAATACCAAAACATAATTCATGAAAATCTGTTTCTTCCTAGACACCTGCCACCTATGATGTCTTGATGGAGATGGAGTATCTGGATATGGTGGTGAATGAAATTCTCAGATTATATCCAATTGCTGGTAGACTTGAGAGAACTTGTAAGAAAGATGTTGAAATCAATGGAGTGGTGATTCCCAAAGGGTCATTAGTGTTGATACCAATCTATGCTCTTCATCGAGATCCCAAATACTGGAAAGAGCCTGAGAAGTTCTGCCCTGAAAGGTAAAAATACTTTGGGAAAATAAACCCACTCTGGTGTAGTGTCTTCCAAGTATGCTATAATGTCTACCCTTACTGGACAGGAATACCATTTTGAATTTGAAAGCTTATATTTTTTTCACAGATTTATCTTGTTTCAACCAGAATGAAACTCATGTAGGAGAAGGCCAATAGAAATGATCTTTAGCTTGCAACTCTCATAGCAATAACAAAGAGAATTTTCAATGTTTGGAAAACAAAATCATCTGTATACAACTCTTTGGGGGCAGAAGTCTCAGTGGCATTCTCAAACCAGTAAATATTATGGTATTCATGTTTCACTGACTTTTTATGTGCTATTATGAAACCAGATTCAGTAAGAAGAACAAGAACAATATTGATCCTTACATATACCTGCCTTTTGGGACTGGACCCAGAAACTGCATTGGCATGAGGTTTGCTCTCCTGAACATGAAACTTGCTATCATCAGAGTCTTACAAAACTTCTCCTTCCAAACATGTAAGGAAACACAGGTAAGACAAATCTTTCTATACAAATAATGATTTACCAAGAGGTTTTTTACTAAACCCAGGGTACTATTTAAATAAAAGTCCATGGTGGTTTGTTAATCATTCCTTTGTTCTATGGATCAGGCCATTTATACAACTTTAGGATCCTTTACAATTGGAGTTTTAAATTTATGAAGACAATGTGTAAAGTGTCTTCAAAACTCTTTGCAGGTTTGTAAGGCATTATTATATATGATCTCTGTGCAGTTGAGGAATGCTTAAATTGTTTTAAATCACCTGCAGTTGGGACAAGTTGTGAACAGTTATAAGGTGCAATCATCCCATTGGCATGATATGACAGTGATCTGTTTCCATGATTCATGCACTGAATATGCACTTCCTCTCTTTCAGTAGGGTTTCTGTATGGGAGATGAGAATAGAGTTGGCTTCCCTTTATTTGTGGCTTCAGGCCAGTTGTATAGATCCTCTGAAAGTATAGATAAAGGGCCATAACTCTGAGATACTGGATATTCTGGCATATCTGAAATGAGGCTGATACTTTCTGTAAGCCCCCAGCCTTCTCAGGTAATATTACTCACACTTCATGAGAATTTGCTTCCTCTCCATATCCTGAGGTCAGAAGGTTATTATGTTGGAGGTTCCCAAAAATTGAAGAATGTGACTAGTGAGAATTGTGTAATGTGTTACTTAAAAATTATAGGATTCAGAAGTTCCCGCTATGCTATAATGAAAGCCAAGAAGAGATGTCAGAAAAAGCAAAGCAGAGCATAATTATCCTGAAGGTCTCTTTCCATTATCAAACTGAATAGGTTTACATGGCAGGAGTAACTAGACTCTATAAGTGAAGCACCATCCGTATATTTGAAATGTGTAGTACCTGCACAGAGTTCTCTTGTAAGTTTCAACAAACACAAAATTAACTTTTTATGGTTTTCACAAAATAGACTTTAAAACTTATTATATTTACTTTAAGTTGTATACACAAAATAAAAATATCAATGAGGTTTTTTCTTAGACCTGGTACAGAACAGGTGTTCATGAATTATTGTTTTAACTGAGCAGATGGATTAATGTTTTCACTACCCAATTTTTACACACTTAAAAAGTAATTATAACCAATTTGAGGCATATTGCATTTAAGACAGTTTTCATATATTTGTAAATAATTACTGGCTTTGCTATACATTTTCATTGTGTTGTTGATTCCACATTGGTCATTTCTTCATGTGTTTGTTTCACTGTTACAGATCCCTTTAACATTCAAAAAACAAGGACTTCTTCAACCTGAAAAAGAGGTTCTTCTGAAAGTTGTGCCAAGAGAGCAAAGTGGAGTCTAATTTTTCCTAGTTTTCTGCTATGTTCTCTTTTTCATGAAAACTTTGTTATAGAACGTTAGTGACCAATTTGTGAAAAGTATTTAGAAATAAAAATGGTCTTAATCTTCTAAATTTGATTAGAGATTGTGGATTTTCAGTGTGCTTGCTCACTATGTGTAGTGTTTCATAAGATTAGTGGCAAATATATACACATTCTCCCTGGGTCATGTGATTCTCTCCTCCATTTAGCATATGATAACACTTTCAATCAAAGAATACACATTCTTCATTAATTTAATTGACAAGTTTTAGTGAAAATGAGAATTTTTGGATGACACTAAAAGTAGAATTTATATCAAATGTTTCCTTTGTAATATTCCATAATGAATACTGTATTAAGGTATTGAATTAATATCCATCTACAAAAGAATGACATTACTCAATAAGCATTAAGAGGATCATAGAACTGAATCATAGAAAGTAGTCTTTTGTTCATTAAAAATTAGTGGATGTATGAGGCCTGTTTTAGAATCCAACTGGATTATTTTTTATATTTATTTAGTTTATTGGTGCAATTTAAACATAATGATCACATTCACTATAGGAGATGTGTACCTGTATAGTATGTCATAGTCCCTCTTTTTATTTTCTCCCATTTCTACCCCTCCCTGCAACCCTTCTTCACTTTCTTATTTGTAAGTTTTGTTTCCATTTTATCTATTTTTCTCATTTACCATCTTGTCATTTCCTTCTCCATCCCACATCTCTTTTTGAACAATTTATTCCTACTTCAGAATACCTATTATATATTTTGGTTCGTATTTACACTTTCAGTTTCTCAAGACAGAAAAACAATGCAATATTTACACATATGTGCTTGATTTCATCTTACTTAAAAACTTTTGCATAGCAAAAGAAATCACCAACAAGTGTAAAAACAACCCACAGGTTGGGGAAAAGTTTACCTAGTTGTTCTTCAGACAGAGGACTACTATCGAGAACATACAAAATTAAGAAAAAAAATCCCAGACCTCCAGATTTAAAGAGTCAAACCATAGATGGGTCCCTGAAATGAATAGATATTTCTTAGAAGAACAAATGACAAACAAATATATGAAAAAGCATTCAACATCAGTGATCATTAGAGATGCATATTAAAACAAGGTTGCATTCCTTTTCACTTCAGAAAGAATGAATATCATCAAGAAACAGCCAATTTGCATATTAAAAAGCAGAGTTAATGCCATCTTGGTTGGAAAGCTATTGCTATTGAATACTGTACTATTGTTAGCAGAAGTAAAGGTGTTCCAGTTAGCAGATATTTATTGCATGTCAATTGAAGGAGCAAATGGAATCGAAAAACACTTGCCAAATATAACTAAAATACAAAGAAAGAAAGACCCAAAGCAATGCAATAAGAAATGAAAAAGGTTTTATATAAACCACAATGGAAACTGTCAAAAAATTATTAACAACTATGTGACAAACAAGTATGCCAAAATTAAGAGAAGTTAGAAGAAATTGATAGATTTCTGGAAAAATATGAATTTCTAAAACTGAACCAAAAAGATTTTAAAATCTTGAATAATTCAAACAGAGGCAATGAAATTAATGCAATAATAAAGTACCTACCAATCAAGAAAAGACCAAATTTGGATAGATTCACTGCTTATTTCTATAAAAATTCCAGGACTATTCTAACACCAGTACTTCTTGAACTTTTTGAAGATGTACTGCCAAGTCATTACTGGAAGCTACTACTACCCACATTCCCAATCAAGATAATGAGCCATTCAAAAAAAGAAAAAATTAAAAATATGGACCAATTTCCTCAATGAATATAGAAACAAAAGCCTTCAACCAGATACTGAAAAACAAAATAAAATAATTAAGTAGATCATACATTATCACCAAGTAGGATTCAATAAATGTAATATATCACATAAACACAAGCAAGTAAGAAAATCATAGGATCATTTAAATAGATGCAGTAAAAGCTTTTGAGAAAATCCAACATCCTTCTATGATAAAAACAATTGAATAAAATCAGTATAGAAGGTTCAAGAGATGGATGGGAAGAGGAGGGACAGAAGAGAAGGTGGACAAAAAGGTGCTAGTATGTATTATGTGTATGTAACAGTTCCTACAAGAAATATGAAAATTATGTATTATAAACACATGCTAATAAAAAAGATAGAAAAATTATCTAATGCCAGTGTTTTCTAAAATTTTCCGTGAAATTAAAAGGGAATGAATATTTCTAAACTAATTCCTTAAAACAGCAGTACTTTGATATAAAAACCAGGCACTAACTTAACAATAAAAGAAAACTACAGGCCCATTTCCCTAAGGAACACAGACGCAAAAACTCTCAACAAGATACTGACAAACAATATTTAGTTTGTACTTCTGACTGATTTATTTCCACAGCTTGCACTTGACTATGTATAAAGACATCATGTATTCTTAAAGAGATATTTATTTATATATTTAACATAAATCTTAATATAGAATGTTATGAAAACCACTTGATATATATGAGTTATTTTAAATATATCATATATATGCACATATTGTACTGTAAGCAAAGTAAGCAGCATTTAAAAAGCCCCAAAATAAATGTGATACTACTCAAGTTACTAAAAAAATAGGTATATCCAGTGAGACTCGGCATGGTTGAATAAAGGAGGATTCACATTGGAGTTACTCAGAGAAAATAAATGTAAAATTACAAGTAATTGGAAAAAATGGAGGGCCAAAATCAATCTAAAATAAGAGACTTGCAGATCAAACAAAGCATAAGAATAGGACTTTATAAAATGACAGAACAGCTTACAGCATTGCCTGTGAAAATTCTGCCTACACGTGGAAGGGAATGCATTCTAGGAAGTTCTCAAAAACTGATGGACTGCAAATCTGAGGCAAATTCAAGACATACAGGATAAATTTGGGGTATAAGGCCCCTTGCCTCTTTGCCTTCCTCCAAACAGAGAAAGCTACAGCCTGGCAATAGATTTTGCTGGGACACAGAGGAACAAGTGACCAGGGAGGTGCTTCTATCCTGATGGGTCAACAGAATTGTTTTTTTGTTGTTGATTTGTTTTTGTTTTTGTCATAGGTCATACTAACAAACTGGAACCTCTAGTGACAACAATGTTATGTACCACAGTGCTGAAGGTAGTGAATGGAACAGCACCATCCTTCTTGTCTTGATCCTGAGAGAGGAGAGAGAAAGGGGAGAAAGCAGAGAGAGAGAGAGAGAGAGAGAGAGAGAGAGAGAGAGAGAGAGAGAGAGCTTAAAAAGCCTTAAACTTTTGGTGGGGCAATGATTGAAAATTCAGCACCCCACCCACGCCTGGCTCCCAGCAACAAGAGAAGAGAGAGATGTAATGGAGCGTGAACAGAGGAGGCTCTACAAGGCCCAGAAGGGCCCAACTGTACAGTGGATGAGAGCAGCCTTACACTGTCTTGTCTGAGGGTGCTGAAGAAACCTAGAGAACAATAAAGAGGCACATATGTTTAGGAGATATGGGTGGGTGAACAGAGATTACAGAAAGTTGATGGCTGCAGCCTGGCTCCAGGGCCCACACCAGAGGCCAAGATCAGCCCGGAACCCAGCACTACTCCTACTTCAGTCTTGACACTTTTATATAGCACAGATTTGAGTGCTGACTTGAATAATACCACAGAATTGAGGACACCAGAATTATTTTATTTATTGTTTCTTTTGTTTTCCTTTTTCTCTCTTTTCATGGCTACTTAGGCTTTACTTTTTTAAATTAAATTTGGTAAATTATAGTTATACATACACAATATATTCATTATAGGAAATCTGTACCCAAATGTGATATATTTTGATTCCTCTTTTCCCCCAACCTTCCCCTTCCTCCCTTCAACCCATCTTCCATTCTCCCTATTTATGAAGATTTGTTTGCATTTTTTTGCCTCCTTGCTTTTTCATTCCCTCATCCTTTCCCTTCCCTTTCAAACAATTTCTTCCCCTTTCACAACATCTATTGTAGGTTTTGTTCTTATTTACTCTTTCACCAGGAAGATGTTGCAAAGTTTACACACGTGAGTCCAATTTATTTCACTTAAGAATATGGTCACAAGTTGCATACATTTACATAGAAATGCCTCAAATTTATTCTTCTTTTAACAGAGTAGTAGTATTTTAAAAACCTCTTTATCCATTCACAGATAATCTCCAGAACTGATCTAAGGGCCTATGATAGAAGTTGTGTTAGGATTCTGAGGGTATAGGAAGTTAACAGTTATGGGCTCTCTCCACAAGGTCAGTCTATTTAGGCCCTGATAAAAGGAGGAAGGCATATACATTGTAGGCTTTATTCACCTTAACATTTGGAGCTTGGTATCATCTAGGTGAGAAGAAATAAATCTTACCAACAGACTGAATAAGTGTTGTCCAAACATAAGAATCATAATGAAAAGATTCATAGGGACAGTCAAAGGAGGAGCCAAGTCAAAAAGCTGCTCTTAAGGGATTGGAATAGAGTTTGTAACTACTTAAGTCTTGCTTAATATCTGCTCTTGGGTGTTTATACAGTCTAACATTTTCTTCTATGATCTTTAGGTTATCTTCCATCTAATGTGAATTATTTATTCAAAGGGAGTGATTTTGCTTGGAAGTGAGCCAGCTCCCCTGATTTTGGACATAAGAAAATTGGGGGTTTTGTGTTTCTGAAAGACTATTTCACTTAATAAATTTAAAGATTCTTTTTCTGTCTCTATAGGTGCTGTCATGTCCTTCCAGTCTTGTTGAACTATAATAGTGATGTTACAGGTTAACTGGAGACTCCCAGCAGGAGTTAGTGCTAATAGGGATTAGTGCAGTGTATGGAGCCTGCTTTTTACATCTAGCCTAGCTTTGTATTTAATGTCATTCTTACACACTCTCTATATATTTTTTACACTTTTCTGCTGGGGGTTTAAGGCCCAAGTCAAGGAAGGCTTGTGTGGTTCAAAAATTATTCTCTTCTCTTCTCTTCTCCTCTCCTCTCCTCTCCTCTCCTCTCCTCTCCTCTCCTCTCCTCTTCTCTTCTCTTCTCCTCTCCTCTTCTCTCTCTCTCTCTCTCTCTCTCTCTCTCTCTCTCTCTCTTTCTGTCAAGGTC